GCAGAATTTATAACCCGCGCAGCGTAATCCGCGCGGGCAGCGCGCCCCATTGGAACAGCCAACGGCCGCAACCAACGTCGCGCAAGGGATCTCTTAACGGTAAATTAACACTGCGCTGTTGACACTGCGTAAGCAGGAGTAAATTAACACTGCGCTGTTGACACTGCGTAACGGCGCTGAAGCGCTGTTAACAAGGCGCTGTAGCGCTGTTGACACTGCGTAACGGCGCTGTAGCGCGGCTAACAAGGCGCTGTAGCGCTGTTGACACTGCGTAATGGCGCTGTAGCGCTGTTGACAAGGCGCTGTAGCGCTGTTGACACTGCGCAACGGCGCTGTAGCGCTGTTAATAAGGCGCTGTAGCGCTGTTGACACTGCGTAACGGCGCTGTAGCGCTGTTGACAAGGCGCTGTAGCGCTGTTGACACTGCGCAACGGCGCTGTAGCGCTGTTAACAAGGCGCTGTAGCGCTGTTGACACTGCGCAACGGCGCTGTAGCGCTGTTAACAAGGCGCTGTAGCGCTGTTGACATTGCGTAACGGCGCTGTAGCGCTGCTAACAAGGCGCTGTAGCGCTGTTGACACTGCGTAACGGCGCTGTAGCGCTGTTGACACTGCGTAACGGCGCTGTAGCGCTGTTAACGAGGCGCTGTAGCGCTGTTGACACTGCGCAACGGCGTTGTAGCGCTGTTGACACTGCCTCACGGCGCTGTAGCGCTGTTAACAAGGCGCTGTAGCGCTGTTGACACTGCGTAACGGCGCTGTAGCGCTGTTGACACTGCGCAACGGCGATGTAGCGCGGACGCCCCTGCGCGCGCCGCCAACTACGGCGCGCGAGATGCCCCGAAGCGCGCATGATGGCCGTTGTAAACCGCTCGCAACTGACACGGGCGCGCGCGCCGAGCGGCCGCGACGCGCGGCCGCCGTGGCCGCGGGCAGTCAGCGCGCTCACGCGGGGCGCGATCTGCGGCCGCGACCTGATGGCGCACCCGAAGAGCACCGCGCCTAGCCGCAACCCGCGGCACCACCCACGGGCACGCCGCTACGGGGGTCGCGCGCGGCAACCAGACCGCCGACGCAAGCCGCGGTCGGGAAACGCCCGCGGCGCGTTGCGCGCGGGTTACTAAGGCGCGGGCCGCGGCCTAACCCGCGCCGCCACAATGCGCGCGGACGCCTTTGCGCGCGACGCATATCGCGGCGCGCGTATTGTCGCGCGCGCAACCGCGCATGAATCGTTCGCATCTGACAGGGGCGTGCGCGCAGAGCGCCGCCGCGCATCCACGGGCGCTGCCCCCCCGCGGCGGCGTCTGTCGATGCGACTTACGCGGCCGCCGCGTGAGACGCGGCGCGAAGGCGAACTTATGTCCGCCGCCGCGTGCCGCGGTCCGCGGCTGCCAAGAACCGACAGCACGCGGGGCGCAGCCTGTGGCCGCGATCCACTCGCTGGCACGATGCTGGCACCCCTTGCGTCGCGGCAGGCTGTTCCCGCGTCGGGGGTCGCCTTGCGGGCGGTTCCCCGCCCGATTGGTGCCCGCAGACAACGTCGTTAATGCGTCAGTGCCCCGCGTTGGTGCACGCGTGGTTGTCGCCCTCATGATGAGCGTTGATTTACCGCGATTCGCATTCGAACCCTCGGTTCACCCCATGCGGCGGGCGCCCCCTGGCGCCCTGCAGTACCTGGCGCTATAGCGAATGGTGCTTGTCGCGCGGTCGGCGCCTCATGGTCGGCACCGCGCTGGCGGCATAATGCATGCAAGCACTGGTTGGGGAAAGCACGGGGGAAGGGCGTTCCAATTCTACCTGCAGGGGCAGTTGGGCAACCGGGGCACGGCGCCGCGCCTCTCTGAGGGAGCGCGGTGCAGACTCCTTCGTAGGCCGCCCGCCGCGTCGGCCAGCGGTTGCGGGCGGCGCCCGCCGCCGTCGCGCTGGCCTCCGCCGCCTCGCGGGTTCTCTTCCTCTGCGCTGCTTGGCGTGGCGTGCTGGCTACCTCGAGGACGGCCACCTCGAAGCCAGCCCTCTCCGCCTCCTCCACGAAGGGCCGGCAGAGGAGCGTGCAGCCGTCGGCAATGACCAGCCGCGCGCCCCCGCGGGCCACGGGGCCCAGCTGGCGGGCGCAGAATCCGATGCTTGCCGCATGGATCCGGTCACAACCGTCAAGCCTGTGGCCGCCTGCATGGCGGCACCCGTCGCCGAAGCGCCCGAACACCACCATGGCCCCGCCCCCGGCCTCCAGCCAGGGCGCGCGGACGTTGCCGTTGGAAGTCTGCTTCTCCTCGGCCTCGAACTCCGCGCACTCCAGCAACGCCCGCACCACGGTCGATTTGCCAGCGCCAGAGTGCCCGCCGACAAACACGACCCGCCGCATCGCGACAGCAAACGAAGAACACAAAATATTGAATAATTATCTTGCGCCAAAATGGCTACGGAGGGCGGGGAGCGGAGAAGGGGAAACGGGGGGGTGGAGGAGAGGGCGGAGGGCGGAGGATGGAGGACGGAGGAGGAGGA